TACAAATTTTGGGCCGCAAATTCATAATTACGTGGAACCAGAGAGTTGAAATTTGGTAGGAGCACATGAGGCAGGATGAACACACTTATGGCAGGAGTCAAGACAGGACTCGGCCTACAGGGGGCGGAACGTGCATGATACAAATTTTGAGCCGCAAATTCATAATTCCGGTTTACGTGGAACTAGAGAGTTGAAATTTGGTAGGAGCACATGAGGCAGGATGAGCACACTTATGGCAGGTGTCAAGACCGGACTCCGCCTAAGGGAGCGGGACGTCCGCGATGTAAATGGTCGAGCGGGAATTCATAATTGCTGCCCCGTAGGCCTAAAGATTTCAAATTTGGTAGGATTGCAGCTTTCCGTATTGAAAGTGGAACCTCAGCATTTTGATAAGTAGTGTAGGATATGACGGGGGTCGTAAGTACTCGGTGACAGGAACCGATAATAACTGTTAAAACAAGATATGGGCTCTAAGAGAGCAAGAGCCACCTATCGTTGAAAATCCTAACACCTTCGGTATTTACGAAGTAGCTCTGTGTTCAGTATGTTTCATTCGATAATATGGGATGGTAGATTAGAGTGACAAAAGTGAGTGGTGAAAACCGTGATAATAATTCATTAGTGTCACTACGATAAGCAGATGAGAATTTTGTTCGTTTTTTGCCATTAGATTACGACCACTACCCAGCAAGGTTTGTGACTGAATGTAGGATCTCCTTTGTTTGATATCATTTGCTAGTAAACCTAATCAAGTGTCAGTTATCTGGAATTCTCAACTAATGATATCTCTGTAAAGAAAAGGGTTCATTGATAACGACATCTGATAATAGTGTCATCATCACCCGAGACATTTGTGAGCACCGATCAAGATCTTGGTTGCCTAACAGTCTAGACTTTGATGGGATTTTTCTTGAGAGAGCAAAAGATGGAGACTTCCAATTAGAGGAGTGAGCACCGACTTACGCTAAATATCATTTGCACTGTTAGCCCCGCGTCAAACTTCGTGAAAGGGACAATATTATTGTTTGAAAGAAGGAAAGGAGAATTAGCCGATCACCACAACTCTGCCCAAGAAGGAGTAAAGCCCAGTGCGGCTGGGTCAACCTACTGGTAAGAAATGATTTGTCTGTCCTTTCCAAGTTCAGTGAATGAGAATTAAAGAAACAGCGGCAGTCTCACTATATTTATCAAACATTCTCGGCTTCCCTCCTTCTTATGACAAAGTTGTAATAACGGGCTAACCTGCGATTCCTTCTCTAGAACAGACGACACGTTCCTGAACACAATATTTGGCACTAGACTAACAGGGCCGTGCAGGTCGTGGTATATGCCGATGCTTACGCCTGTGATGCGATGCCGATGCTTACACTTATGATGAGAAGTCTCAATACAGTTCTCTCCTTTTATAAATGTTGGCTAACTAAAGGTGTGACTGATAGGCAACCAATGCCTTGAATAGTCCTCACAAATGTTTTTGAGTGATAGTAACATCATTTTCAAATGTCGTTATCAAGAGAAAACCTTTTTTTACGAATACATTCTGTCGGATAGGTTTTAACAGGAGTGATATCGTAACATAAATAGGCCGTGCCTTCATTATGCCACAACCCTTGCTGGGCCATACCACTCCCTGCCCCCCCCCCCCTCCTTCCCAAATCCTACCACTGGCCTCGAAGCAGCGAAGAGGCGAAGCGGAAGGGACTCTGGCTAACAGTGGAGGTAATCACCGCCTCAATGGGTATGGGATAGCTACCCGAGAGGATCGGTATATCAGCTACAACACAGAGAGGGTCCGGAGTGGCGCAGATTGATGCATGAGCTCTAAGAGCACTGAGCAAACGGCGACTTGAAGAGACCTGTAGACAGAAAACGCCGCAGGGTTTGGAGTGCAAAGGACAAAAAGCTTTCGAGGCATGAAGGCTGCCTACGAATTTGCACCTGCAACTGCCGTGCAATTGCTCCAAAGGCGGACCAAACCATCCTGATTGAGGCCAGCAAGAAGCTTCGCTTCGACGTTATTGCCCTTCGAGAAACGAAAACCAAGGAAACAGCCATCAAAAAGACCAAAGGCTCATCCGAGGTATCCGTCCCGCGACTGACCATTTTCCACCTACGCATCGCATCGCAAGCGCATCACCGTCAGTATTAATAACTGCTATGCGCCAACGTTAACAGCAACCCACGGAGAAAAGGACGACTTTATAAAGATCTCAGGGAGACTACAAAGAATGAGTATTACAAATACGTAATACGTAATACGTTGCAGACTTCAGGACAATCATACACGAGGAAAGACCAGCAACAGCACGCAGTGGACCACCACAAATCGAACAAATGAACAAAAACGGAGAACGTTTGACAGGCCTTCTAAAGACGTGCAATTTGTTCCACGGAAACAACTTCTCCATGAAGACGAGAGTTGACCATGGACATGGGAGAGCCCCAACAGAGCGATTCGCAGCAAAACAACCACATTTTCACCAACAGGAAGTGGAGTCTGCTAGTCAGTGTGGTGGATGCATTCCGCATTCCGGGGAGTGACCATAGGCTTTTCAGCGCATATGTGCGAAACGTCGATTAGATCACTTCCAATTTCCTCTCATGGGATTACGTCTTGCTTGTACAAGGCCTTCTCACCGGGCAACGACATCGTCTGTGTCAACAAGCATCAACTTGAAGAGCAGGATCGGTGGAAATGCTCACACACTCTTCCAACAACGGGCTGCCGTTTATCGTAGCTCTGCATGCACACCACTGAAACGCGCTTTTATCAATATAGCGTGCCGCATCGCTGTGAGAGAGGCGATTCAGCGATACAAAGACACTCGACCGAAGGAAGTAGCAGACCCACGTGAGGCTAAGCCTGCACTTGACCGTCCTGCAACGAGATGGGGTAAGCCACCAAAGAAACTCCAGGAACTACTGACCAACACCGGTCCCAAACCGCTCAAGATCGTCAAAAATGGAGAGAAGCGGGTGCACGTCGCTGAAGATTATCGGCCGACGGAGAGCGTCCAAGTATCCAAGTATTAAAGTACAATGTTGTACTTTAATCGAACCCTATCACTGCACTTAACCGTCTTGTTAAATGAAACATATCAAAGAATAAACCGATTGTAAATATCAAAGGCGCCAGGATTCAGTTGGTAAGTGGTTCTTCCCTCTGACAATTAAGGCCCCTTTATCGGCTCTTATCTGTTGTCATCAATTTCTGCCACAGGCTACCTACGACACCATAACATCCTACATCACCACTTGAAGTGGTAGGGATCTACCTTCAATGGGAAGACCTAAGACCTTATAAACCTAGTGTCTCTCGACGTTTATGGCTCCTTGCCAGCCCTTATGGCTCGTATCAGTCCTTGTCACCAACTACCTTCAGCCCCTTCTCATTCTACACTGCCTCCTTAAGTACCAAGCCTCACTGTTATGACGAAGGGTGTTATAGACCTAGTGGATCTCGCCTTCTGTGACTCGTTATCAGTTGCTAATAGCTCTTAGCAATCTCTATTACTGAACATCCACGGTCCCTTCTCAATCCAGACCGCCTATTGAAGAGCCACGGGTCTACCGTCGAGCCGAGGCAGATCACAATCCTAATGGCTTTGCCCTCCAAGGCCCCTTATTAGCTCCTACCAATTATCAACACTTCCTACCACCTATAATTAGCGATCACATTGCCGCCGGTGCTCCTTACAAGTTCGAATGCTTGTGGGCGGACTCGCTCCTGCCACCTACCATCGCTGTTCCCATCCCGCTGCCTATACTCCTATCAAATTTGAATGCTCTAGGTCTATCGTAACAGGATTTGGGAATTTCCGATCAAACACACATACCGATACATACACACACATGCACACTATATCAACAAACCAACGGATACACTTAACGAATTCCATATAGTAAGATACATATATCGCTTTTTGCTAACAACAAATCAGTGTAAAAAGAACCTCAAGCAGTTGTCGCGCATGCTGAAGTTCCTCCGTGAGTTGGAAGTTTTCACGACGCAATGTTTCGAGCTTTCTGTTATACTCAGCAATAAGTCGAGTGGAGTGCTAAAACAGAGCGGAAACTGGGACGAAGAATGCGAAATTTTCTTCTCGAGAAAGTAGATTCATGCAAAATCACCTCTCGCATCCGATCGACCTGTGAACGTAAAGTGGGTGTGTCCTCTCGCGAATCACTCGTTTTGCTTTCATTCTGCTGAAATTATTGATTAACGAAACCAAATTACTAGATAAAACCATAAGGCTAAACAATGACATCGTGTCCCAAAAGTATAGATACACATAGTTGATCTGATATTTCCATAGTGAACGAATGTATTCTCTTCAAACTTCACCAGCGAAGCCTTATTGCACCAATGTTGGTATATATGTAAGAAATCCGGAGGAATTAGGTTAAAGATTTTTCATGATTTTTTAAACTAACGTTACGACTTCATCATAGTGTCCAGAATTCATGGGATGCAAAGTTGTCCAATCAGTTTCTAGTAGTGCGTTCACTAAGGTAAGATGCAAAGTTGTCATCGATACGTAATTACCACGTTCGTTCTCCAGTGCCATGCCACGCGGACGCTACAGAGCCTCTGTTCGCCCTTATTTAGAGTGCTGTTCGCAGATTTGGAGTTGAAACAGAAATATTGAGGCTTGAAAGTTCGGAGTTCGTTCACGAGGTTAGTGTTCATCCGCATGAACAAGGGTTCAAGCAGAAGCAGCCTTCCAGAGCATGGGCAGAAGCTGAACATCTAGAATTGGAAGCCTCGATATACATATAGGAGAATTGTTACAGATCTTGTGCTCGGATTTCAGATCTTTCGTAGGAATTGTAAGCTGCTCTCAAACAAGTACAACTCTCCGGCCTTAGTAGTGAAAGAAAGAATAGTTCTAGTTCAGATCATTCGAAACCGCGAGTAAGAGTCGTGTGAAATGTTCGACTTCTTGTATTGCATCGCCAGGTGGTTTCGGCGTCTTTCTAGCGGAGGGTAAAAAGGATAGAATCTTTTGGCGTTGATCAATCCCGTCTGAGGGATGCGCAACTGCACTCAACATTCCTTCAGAATCATAGTGGCGTAATGAGTGCGTACAAGGCCTATACAATGACTTGCGGTGGCCAGCCAATGTACATACAGGTCAATGCTTTCATCCTTCAAGACGAGTCTGGTACCAATATACAGGGTGTCATAAAATCATTGGCTCCAAAATTCAGAAATCTCTCAGGTAGAAGTAACCTATCAAATTCACATTACCTGCTATTGATTAGTTGCATAAGAAGATATCCTTGCAGTATGCATGGTTACTGGTGTGGAACCCCCAATATCTTTATCATGGAGGATGCCCATTCAATGCCACTTGCAATCATTGGCACGCGAGAGGTAGAAGGGCATCGCGAAATTTTTGAGAACTTTTTGCTAAGATTTTTATAATAACCGTATTGGAAGCTATTAAGCAATATGGAAAAGAATATTGATCAGAGAAAAACCAGGAAAGGTAGAAAAAGCCAATGTTTCCAAAGACAGGACTGACAAAATGGTCTATTTGCCAGTCGGTCGGCATCCTGGGTGAGCCATCGAAAGGAAGTCAATGGGCACGGCCAATCGGAGTTATCGTGTTATAAGAATGTCGCGCAGAAGCTTCATTGCCATACCTATCGTATGCAGGAATTTCGCTTCAATCCCGATCTCAGCAGACCCTGCAGGGCCAAAAAATGTAGAAAGTCGCAGACCCACTTCAGTAATGACACGTAACCCTTCATCGTTTCTCTGGCCCAAAAATTTCTTACGATAAAGCCATCCTTCAACAACCAAAACGTTCGCGTTTCGGAAAGAAACATCTAGTGTGCGAACTCTCACAAAAAGGTCGCTATAGAACAGTAAAATGACGTTTTTCGAGGAATTCACCGGCAAGTGTGCAGTGGCACGGCGACACTTCATCGGTAGTAAGCAATGCCATTCTATTTTCCAGAACTTGACCGACTTGACTCCCCCGTATGGTCCATGATCAGAAGAGGTATTTTTGAACGTGATCGTAGCGTGTTGTAGCAAATGGTGTTAGCTAGCGTGCAAAGAAATTCTATCTCTTTTGCAGCTGATATGCTTCAAAGATATTGCTATGAATTGGCGCCAATAATTTTCCGACACCCTGTACAAATCAGTGCTTTTATCCCCTCAGACAAGTCTGGTACCAATTAAACGACCCCGGGGGGATGGAAGGCTTGGTTGGCTAGGCGGGCATCGATCCGGGACAGGCACCCCTGACCGTACGTGTGATGTAGTGCGCCTTTTGCCACTACACCACCTCCACCCTTGTTCTACTAATAAACATTGATAACTATTTAGTGAACACTGCAGACAATGCTCCCTTCATATAGTGGGAGCATGGCCGTATCTTGCCATATTGATATTTTCTTGGTTCTGCATTCTGGCTTGACTGCTATTTCTCTTTTTTCATCTCTCTGTCTGCTTCGCCTAAGTTAGGTGAACGTTGCACTGCCCTTTTTGATTGCGGCATGCTGTAGCTGGGGTTTTGAGAATTTTATGTTTCTTTCCTATGCTTTGCTTCGCTCTGTTTGAAATTACTAACAAACGTGTATGATTGCTGTGGTGCATCACGAAAGCAGTTAATAAATCAATACATACATATAAGTGAATAAATACCCCATAGCCCACACGCATACCCTTTCTAGCATCGTAATTTTTATCAGCTACCCTAAGCGGCTAGATCGTATGCAATCGAACTCTTTGGGTAGAGGATGCTAGCTCATCTCAGTGAAATTCTCTTCCACATCTCTGAAATGCTCGCGGTCCTATGCAGAACCTCAGCAGAGAACGAGTTTAAGGGGAATCAACTCAAATGGCCGATTCTCAGAAAGTTTTTTTTCTAATTATCTGACAAAAAACGAACAAAAAACGTCCTAGGTGTAGCAAAACAACATAAAAAGTTACTAAGCTGCGTGGAGCATCGAGGTCTACATCAGATATGGCAAGGAAGAAAAAGGTGGTATTCGCCTCGAACATATATTACTCTATTCTATCTAAGTTCAGAGTTTAGTAGCTCTCCTGTTCCCTCTCAGGGTGAAGCGCACTGGGAGAAGAATAATCGTGTCTACGACTTCACTGTATATCTTGCATCTCTCCAACGAATGTACTGATTGGACGAGTGAGTGTGGCTTTAGCACCGAACTTATCTAGAAGGTTTTGCGCCATTTTAGTAATGACACTGTGAACGTTGTACAGGCTTACCCACCGTAAGTGCATCACCAGCCTCCAAATTTTCGCTGATGGATTTCTTCAACACTGCTTTTTTCTTGCCCATCGTTTGAGCGTTACCATTAGAATGGTCTGTGTCGTGATAATCTGAACGAGCCAATTGGAGAAGATTACCTGAATGATAAGCCCACCACACAGCAATTGCGAAACATATCAAATGCTATCGCCATGTACATGAGAAAAAAGTGAGCGATAACGGATAAGACTTGTAATACCGCATCCGCTTAATTATGAAACGCCTTAAAAGAATCAAGGTAAACTCGGCCAGGAACTAGCAAACTCGGCTGAAATCCATTGTTGCCAGCCCTGGTTCCTGCCACGCAACATTAACAAGTTGGAACTAAATCGAACCTGTCAGGTTTAACGCGGTTTCATGTGAAAACCCGTTAGGATACCCCTGAGATTACTTGTTGAGAACGATAGGTCATCGAGTTCAAGAACTACCCACTTAGGAATCCCTAGGAAACGATTGGATTGGAAAATAAGGTGGGGAGGGAAGGGGGGAGGGGCACCGCTCTTATCCAACAGCGCAGAGGTATTCGACTTTCCAAGCTTGTTTGTTGTTCAGGAACGTCGCTTGTCATAGAAAATTACTTGTCTTGAACTATGCCTTGGGAGAAGAAGCATCGGGGTTGGTGAGACAATTAAATGTTCAAATTTTACACCACCAGTCGGGTCACCCGGCTAACGCCGGATTTTCTTCCTTCTCATGATAGAATTGTAATGATCGGCTAACGGACTGCTCATTCTTCGAAAAAAACAA